GTGAGAGTTTATTCAAGGAAAGGGGTTTTAAAGACAGGGGAACCAAATGGGGACGAGTATGACACCTTATAGCTGTGTGAGGCTTTTCATCAAAAATGTTAAAATATCTGATCTGATGAGAGGTTTGAGGCCTTTCGAGAATTTTAAGTGAATAAACAAAACTGAATATTAAGTGTATTTTCAGCATTAATTATTCACAACCATGTATATATATATTTGCTTTATTCCCACACATGCAACACCTCTATTAATTTCATTTGAAAATTCTTTAGTGTGCATTAGGTGTTTTATAGCAGCCTGCGGATTTTTTTCATGAACTCTAAGGCTGAGGTTTGGGGAGTAAAATCAAGGGGATAAGATTTTGACCAAAGATAGAAGAATAGCCTACTCAATAACCCGACCCCTGTAGGCCTCTGCATCGCCCTGGCTGTCAGAGGCGACTGCGCATGAAATTGTTAATGGTCACTGTGAGGCAAAGTTACAGTCCCAGTATCTCTGTAATCCTCTGCAGGTCGTCTTAATTAAATGTCCGTGCAGTGGCCTGGTGCTGCGCCGGTTTCTCCTTACATGGACCCGGGTATGAACTTTTTCCACCGCCCTGGGCTGTTTACACAATTCACGACGGGCCTTCTTCTTAATACCCCGGCCTGCCCACCCAGTCCTCCTTAACTCTCTATCATTATTTAGAGGCATCCACGACCGACGCACAGTGAAAAACGCGAATAGGTTTCAAAATAATAACAAAGCAATAAGCGAAATATTTGATGATCGTCGCCTATTTTAATTTTCAAATTGTAGCATAATGACGACATCATTATTATTATTAGAATAAATGTTATCCTGTTATGGTGACGTAGGCACCTGTTGGTCTACAATTTAATTTAATTAATGTTATTTTATTTATTAATTTTCATTTATATGTGCTATTTGTACCAACATACTGCATCTTATCGTTTTATTATTAGCCAGTGTTTCAACAAAAGCCGAGATCATAATAAATATTTCAACAATGGCAATATGGATGTAGTTTATTAATATGGATATATTTTGATATATTACCAAGTCTAAAAAAAAACGTCATCAGGTAATAAATTCTATCTGCATTATTATCTCCAAATACTGATGTTGACATATAAACCTAACCTAGCTCACAATAATGCTGTTATTTTAAGAGAGAGAGAGGGAAGGGAGGGAGAGAGGGAGAGAGAGAGAGAGAGAGAGAGAGAGAGAGAGAGAGAGAGGTTCATCATAACTATGAATTTGGCTCCCTCTGGTGTTCAGAGGGAGCAAAGTCCTTCCAGCAATTACACTGATGTGTGTAACTTTAATTGAAGTTTATTGGAGAATATTCTAAATCTTAAGGAAGTCCCTTCTTTAATGGCCACTAACCATTTTATGACTGAATTTTCAAACCTAAATGAAAAAACAAAACAAAAATAAAAACAGATGGCTGACAAGAAGAATACATTAAGATTCATTTCACGTGTGTGTGTGTGTGTGTGTGTGTGTGTGTGTGGTGATGGCTGGTTGATAGGAGCTTCTCACGGGCAATGAGGTTGCAGAACATTTATGAGACACTGCTGCCACCTCATGGCCTACTTTAGTACTACATACAATGATTGGGCATCATTAGTCATTATGAAGAGAAGGCGCCATCAGGACCTTAAACACTGAGATGCGCTAATCACAATGCAATGGTGTCATGGTGAAATAGCATGGGTCATACTGGTTGCTTCTATGAGTGCTTGTAAATAGTTTTTCGCCATCTAACTGAGGATCCACTTCCGTGTAATATACAGTATTTTATTGGCCATTAAAAAGATACATAGGACACAGCAATTTTGCTGTCAACACCAATCCCCTGTATTAGACAGCATGCCAATCCTGGCGTCCATGGAAAGGTGCAGGATAAAGGCTTACAAAGCATAAACACCATTTTTCAGTTAACCAAGTGAACTTTTGATTGTTCATTTCATAGAATATGTAGGTCTTGGTATGACCTGGAATTAACGACCATCACAGTGTTTGTATTTTCTTCTTTCTAGAGCTGGACCTATGTTTTTTTATGGGGCTCTTTTTTTGGCACATTTTCTAACATATTTAATTTATTTGATGCACCTGATTAAAATAATTCGAAAAATGGAATTTTTATAGAATAGAGCTTCTATTTATAGAGGTACACTTACCAACAGCTCTGACAGACAGAGTCCATAATAACTTACAAGTCAGTGGCTCTCAGCTTGGAACCATCCCTCTCGGGGTTCCCTGTACCATCATTTTCAGTGACATGATTAAATTGCTGATTTGAGGTGGTTGCTGATTTGCATGCCCCTTGAGTAATTTACAACTGCCAGCTTTTTTCCACCATCATCCTTAGGTCATCACCCCCACCCCACCCCCCCATTCCTTCTCTTGGCCTTGTAGGGGAGCCAGACAGAAACAATGATGCTTACAGCAATCATGCTGAGAACCAATCACAGCGGAGTCAGACTTTCGGACCCCACTGTATGTGTTGTAAACATTAATCAGAACATTACAGATGGTCCAGAATGTGGTGGTGCGTCTGGTCTTTGATCAGCCTGATCTCATGTCACTCCGCTGCTCATTGACCTCCACTGGCTACCCATGGCTGCTCGAATCAAAGTCAAGTCACTAATCTACAGAGTGACTTCTGCGTCTGCACCCATCTACTTGCACTCAATCACACAGGCTTATGCTCCTTCTCTGCCACTGCGTTCCTCCAGGGAATGAGGTCTGGCATTGCGTTCCCTACACACAAGGCAATCTAAGTCCAGACTGTTCTCCTTTGTGGTATCCCCATGGTGGAATGAGCTACCAAATGCTAGCAGATCCTATCCTCAAGAATATCTTGAAGACTCATCTCTTCTGAGAGCACCTCTTCTCCTAACACCCCAACATGCCTAACTAGCACTTACTAAGCACTATGGGTGCAATTCTTTCCCTGATGTCCTTGAACTTATTGAACAGATTTAGTACTTAATGCCTTCACCACAGTCTCCTACTGAACTGAAGATTTAGTCTTGTCTCTCACTTTTAAGTTGCTTTGGATAAAAGCATCTGCCAAATGAGTAAATGTAAGTGCTTACAATGAAATGGAGGTATCATATATGAACTCAGATGTCACATTCATTTATGACTTAATATTTGTAAATTTGTAAAGTTTAACACAGTTTAGATTTTTCATCCTGCTTCATCTTTTGATAACTCAATGAAGAGATGCTGTTGTTGTGGAATATATTAAAAGAAAAGAATCGAGTGAACTATCTGGTACCTTGAAAGTTTTAAATCGATGTTTGCCATATGACAGCCAGACTGTCATCAAAGTCACAGTGCATCATGGTTAGGTGTGCTGCTACTGTGTCATTTTTGCTAATTTGGGATAGGACTACATAGGCTATCTAAAATATACAATGGACCACAGATAGGCTAAGATGTATTCATAATTCTCTTCAGTACCATGGACAGTAGAGAGATCAACAGGCTCATATAAACTCCTGTAATAAAACAGCTGCAGGGGCCCTTATCTTAAAAGCATGTTCTGGTAAATTACTCTAATCGTTACGATCAATATTTCTATTACCAGTGTAATTATCAACATACATCCCTATATCATTTCTAAACATTTGACCTGTCAGGCCTAGGTTCATTAATAGTGTATACAATGATAGTACATGGGGCTCAATATAGACATCTGTGCATCTGATGTATACAGCGCGATCAAAGGAACACTGTTTCACAATGGGACTTTTCTAACCGACAGAAAATTATTGCCATGAACTAAAAACTATTTATAAAAAATCACGTTGGTTTGGCGTTTAGAGATGAAATTACAGGTTTAATAATGAAATATCAATGTGAGATAGCTTTTATATGGCTCCTCAAAATGTAGGCCTATATCACAAATTTGAAACCTTTTGAATAAATAATGGCAGCTGAATCTTTATATCCATTTTATCAGCCTGTATGCCTATACTTAAAACACTGTTATTTGTCTATAGAATGCTGAGCCTTTAAAGAGTGTATTCAGCTGTATTTACTTATATTGTATCTCCGGTTCTCAGTTTAATCAGAGAACCTCACTGTAGGGGGAACCTTACAGATAGCCTCTTTAATGCGTGTATTTGTGGAACACTTATGTAAAACTATTAGCTTTATCTCTATCCAGGATTTGAATGTGGCAGAATGAGCGGGGAATTTTGTTTGAGCCTTTCAACTCTCAATCACCACAAGGTGGCGGTACAGTCACGTGAAAACCAGCAGCACTGTTCAACATTGTAAATTAAAATGTTGTTTTGTCTTTCCAGTTTCCCTTTGTTGTTTAATTTAATAATAATTACATCACAGTTATCGAATGAATATGACTCGAATTACTCTGAAATGATCCTCAGCTTATGAACAGATAAAAGGATGGTAACTCTCTTTTGAATCGTCTTTTGCACATAATGAAAAGTGTAAGTTGTGCAAAGACAAACAAACAAACAAACAAAAAAAGAATGACACCATATCCTGGTTCATCTTAAACTGAACGGCTCTGCAGTATGAAAATTAAAAGAAAGAAATCAAAAGAATTGGAATTCATTATGGTGCTGTCAATATATCGATATTAATTTTATACCTTTCTTTTTTTTATATTAAGATGTCGCAAATCAAGTGACGATCAATCCCAATATTTTTAAAGGTCATAAATACAAAATGGGAGGTGAAAGAGAGAGAGAGAGATCGGGTCAGTGATTAGGTTTTGTGTTAATTTGGGAGGATATTATAAATAATTATAATAATAATAATAATAATAATAATTAGTATTATTATTATAACATTAATAATAATAACTTGTGGCAGAAGGGAAAAAGAGAAGAACTGCATTGCTGATTAAGAACATCTTTGTGTACAAAAAACGTTTTCAGAAGAAACTATTTTTCCAAAACATATGAAACACTTCCAAAATAAAAATAAATCTTTTTAATGGCTTGTTGCAGGAAATCAACAACAATTTCAGTAAAATCGGGAAAACAACATTAAGTGCATGAATAAAGATTAAATCTGGTACGTGTTCGGTGTATTTTTGCAGTAAAAATGTAGATATTGCTTATCCGTGTGTGTAAAGTGAAGTGCCACAACAAGTCCCCATATCATAACCATTACTAAACGGTGTAAAAGGTCAAAGTTCACGGAAGAAAACTGTCTCTGCTTCCACTCTGAGTCTGCAGAAAATCAAATCGCCCTTTCGTCACCACAAGTTTAGTTACAATAAAAACTCCACCTGAGGGTTGATTTAGATCAACAGTATAGCCCACTGTACAGTTAAGGCCATTCCCGTCTTCTTCTGTCACATGACACATGGCTTTACGTCCTGATAGACACTCTGGTGATGGTGATGATGAAGCTGGTGATAATAAGATCCTCCGCTGCTGGGATGAAGAGAGGAGATTCCATTGAGGTTGAGGACGAAGTCCTTCCTGTCACACACCGGAGCTGAGTGGTTGGAATATCGAGACAGTCCCACTGGAAACACACAGGGCACGAGAGGTTAATCCATCATTTCTTTCTCTATGGTTAATGTCTATTATCTTTATTCCAAATGTTGGATAACACAACATAATATGCATTTTCAGTAATGTGTGGCTTTAGCCAAAATGTTTTGGTGCCACTTTTAATAAGGTAAAGTCCAATGGCTTTATTCATGATTAAAAACATTTACTAAGGCTTCATAGATCATTTGCCAGGTTGCGAAATATCTTTTCCCTGATGTTTATCCTTTGTAATTTGGTAATTGTGCAGTTACAACCCATTAACAGATAATGGTTGATTTCTCATTTTCTAATTACCCATAAAACCAATGCTAACAGGCCTAAGTTGTGGTCACACTTTATTGTTAAAACGTATGTTTTGCTCTGCAGCCCCTTACCAGAAGGTAGATCTTCCTGATGAACTAAAAAGCTAAAAAGACTAAGCACGTATCTTGATGGAGGAAGTTAAACACGACTCAAAAGTTGTTCTTATTAATAGTTTATGACGGATCTATTAATAGTATTATAATAATAGTAGTAAAATATTTGTTATCCATTAATAAAGCCACCATTTTGCTTGTAAACCATTCATATGGGTTTTTTTTTTACTGAAAGTGGTGCCAACTTGTTTCATCATATATGGCCTACCTAAAAACATGAACGCTTATGCAAAAATAAAAGATAATGAAACAGAATAAACAATGTGTAAAGAGCCTGATTATTGAGCTGCTGTGGCTCACGTTAAAGGCCTCAATGAAGTTGCACTGAAACTTGTTTTCTAGTTTCTTTCCTTGTTAAGAATATATTTGTGACATCGTGTTTAAAGCCATTTCGTTATGCATTTGTATTTAGTACACATTTTAATTATACATTTTACAGCATAGAGGCCTTTAAAGAAAGCTTGAGCTGAAATGCAATCGTGAGAAATTAAGATTAAACACTATGGTGTAGTTACATGACCTTGTGCACATTTCACACACAATTGAATGACGACTAGTGAAAAATTGATAGTGAAAATGTTTTGTTTTTTTAGATTTTACTTTCGCAACGATTCAATCACATCAGTTAATGCACATTAGTTTGTTGTCTTTTAATCTGCAAAGATTCGTTCAGGTTGATTTTCACGTGCATTTTCTTTCCACATTAGCACTCATCCAGTGCAGCCTAGATAAAACATGCATTGAAAAGATCTAATTTTCTATAGATTTGTTCATTCGTTTACTGTTAATGCGTTTAATGTCTGAAAATCTACGAACATTTTACTTTACGCGGAGAATGGTTCATTTTTAGCTGATAACACATCGCTTCAGTTTCATGTAAATTATCAACTTTGATCCTCATGACTCATTAAGGTGCAAATAGCAATCAAAAAATAAAATACATATCTACACACGACTGCACGGTGAGGCTTTACCTGAAATGTCGGAAGAATCTCGTGCGTTATGGTGCAGATAGCCCTGATCCAGAGAGTAGGATGACATGCCGGTGTGCAGAGCAGAAGAAGTGGGGCTGCTTGATGCCAGCGACTGCTGTTTCATGTATGAAGGTACACCAGGTGAGCTCCAGTGTGAGGCTGCATTTGCATAAGGCGACTGACAGTCCAGGGCGCCGACCATCGCTGGAGAGGACTGCAGGGGGCTGCTGCTGCTGTCCGGGCAATAGTCCGCGTTAGAACCCCCCTGACAGGCAGCCATGTACGAAGACCCGGAGCTTGATGACATTTGTGGGACGTGGTGCCCCCCTCCTAGCCCATCGAAGCCACCCGGCACTGGATTACCCATCAAGTCTAAGTTATAGCTGTTATGACATGCTAATGAGCCTGAAGGTGACTGGAAATCAAAGTTTTGTGGCAGCATAGACGCACCAAACCCGATTCCATTCATCATCCTGTACATTGGTTTCAAAGCTTGGCATTTCCTGCGGAACCCCCGGGGTCTGCGACGAAAGGAGCCCTCCTCGAACATAAACTCGCTTCCCGGGTCGATGGTCCAGTAGTGCCCCTTGCCGGGTCTGCCGAGACCTTTGGGCAGCTTTATGAAACACTCGTTCAGAGACAGGTTGTGTCTGACGGAGTTCTTCCATCCCTGGTACGATCCCCTGAAGAAAGGGAACCGGGCCTGCAAGAACTGATAGATTTCGCTCAAAGTAAGCCGCTTGGTCGGCGAGCTTTGAATTGCCATCACAATGAGGGCAATATATGAGTAGGGGGGCTTTTCTGGGCGCCTCAAGCCCGAGTTTCCCTTTTTCCCTTTAGCTGATGCAGCGTGCGCGCTCTCCATCACTGGCTGTGCGCTCAGCAGATTCACATTCAGAGCACCGGCCGCTGGGATGGAACGCGGAGGATTAGATGGATCCAAATGTTGCTGGGAGCTCTCGGTCGTCATGGTTGCGCCTCTTTTTGGATCCGACCACTGCGGGGTCTCTGTGACAGTCGGGCGACCAACTTTCCCTAGATTTTAAGCGCTATTAAACGTTCCTTAATGTGACAATTGAAGAGGCCGGTGCGGTGCTCTGCGCGTTTATAACCGTGAAAATCAAGAAACGCCAGCCGCTGTGCCTCCTTCCTCTCTCTGTCCATTGCTGGCAATAATCCCATATGAGGGGGGGGATAAAGCTCCTCGACTTTGCTTGCGCATATCCACCCGGCCAAACACAACTCGACCACCTATCAATTCTTAAATCTCCCTCTGCCCCTCTATCCCACAAATCCCTCCAAGAAATCTCCAGGAACTACTCCCTCCCCATCTGGCCAGGATCCAGACTAGAAGCCGGACACGGCACAGTGGAGTAAGACAAATCTCCTCCTACCACTCTCTTTCCAAAACACCTCTGTCCACATTTGTCAAACCAATATTTGGCACGAGAACTTGACATGTCGTGATGGATAAAGAGGCACAGTTTGGATAAATCACTCCCTTTGTCTCCATATCTGCAAAAATAAAAGTGACAATGTCTGCTCGTGGTTTTAATGTTGTAAAGGTGTAGAGGAGAAGGAGTCCTGATTTGTTTGGGATCTGTTCAGGGTTAGGGCTCTGACATGAGAGGAAACATGCTTTTTCCATCAGAGCGTGCCAACATACCACACACAGCGCATAAGTGTCAGTTTACCTCTTGGGGCCTGGATTATGTCCCTGGAGAAATGAATAGATTGTAAAAATCTGAAAAAGAAAAATACACATTATGAAATATTCAAATATCGGTTCTACAACGTTTATTACTGTAAATGGCTTCTCTGTGCCCTGCGTCACGTTAGAACAAATCACCCACTCTTAGGATGTGAAATAATCTCCCACACACCAGCAAGGTTAAACCACAATCCAGGCGGAATCTCAGCGACATCAAAACTCGCGACCCTGCTGCGTTCAGGATGCTGCAGCTGCTTTAAAGGAAATTTACTTTCTAGCCTCAGAAGAATGGGCCCTTCTTGGAAGACATTTCTTCCTATTGTGGATTCGAGCTCAGTTTGCTCAGGATGCACCATTTGTATAAACTCTTTCCTGCGCATGTGCGGTGACTGAGGCGACAGCTATTTGCAGCGCCAGACAGAAAACATAAATATTGAATGCCCCTATCCGGCAGCAGCGAGCTTCTTGAACACTGAAAAGTAAATACTTATAAGGCAATTTTTTATGGCTGCATAAAGGATAGGGAAAAAAATCACATATAAACATATAATAAGATGCGATTATTATAATAATTCTTAGCATATTATTATTATTATTTTATTATCATAGCCTGGGGGAAGCTATATCATACAAACACACACATGTATATACATATATATATATGTATATATACACGTATATATACATATATATATATATACACACACATATATATATATATCTATATCTATATATAGATATAGATAGAGGAGGCCTTGGTGCACTTGTGTAACCACCCCCCAACAGCAGAACAAGGTGGAGTCACATGACCACGCCCAGATGAATATAACATTTGCATCTAACAGGTGTTAATGTCTCATACAGGTGAGAGTCCTATAATTTAGCTCCACAGGAACCATTATATCTAACGGCTGTAATTCATCTGAATTTGTGTTCAAAGAATAAAACACACAGATTGGCATGAGTCAGATTTTTTATTTCATATCATTTGTAAAGAGCTTTTTTTTTTTTTTGGAAAGAAAAAGACACATAAACAGTGAAAGTGCTTCTATTTTAACGCGTTTATTGATCAAACAAAGTTGTTCGTCAGTAACATTTACAACGAAGTGTGTAGAAAATATTCAAATCTATTAAACTTTAAAAAGGACATGACCGAAGGTACAAACTAATGAGAAAGTGTAACACCATGCCACCACAATAATATCAAATCCAACACAGATGGAAAATCTTCTGTGGTCCTTTCCCTCTTCTGTGTCCATCATCAGTGCACAGCGATGATTTTTAATCATCAAATGAAAAAGATTTTAAAAGTTTATTTCTGATATTGCAAGACTGTCTGTGAAAGCAGCCCAACGCTACAGACGTTGGACACATGCGCAGCAGCAGCACAAGGGTCCACATGGTAAGGTGCATTAACGTATGCAAATGAGGCAGGTGTGTTTGAATGAGGCGCCATTAGTTCAGTGTAGCGCGGCCAGGTGAAGGCGGGGAGGAGACTGAACTGCTCCTTGCCTGAGTCTCTCTTGAAGGGCCTGCTGAGGATGCTGTCTATAGCAAATGAACTGGTGAACTTTGCGCATGAGTCAGTCTTGTTGGCGGCCGCAGACCTCTGCGCCTCCTCCGCGTGCTCGGACACCTCCGGCTCCGTGCCGCTGAACCTTTTGTTGATGCGCTTCCTCCTGCGCCGAAACACCCCGTCGGCAAACGTGTATTCGCTGTGAGGATTGAGCATCCAGTAATTGTCCTTCCCCCAAGGTCTCGACGGGTCGCGGAGCACTTTGAGAAAGCAGTCATTCAGAGACAAGTTGTGCCGAACCGAGTTCCTCCAGCCGGTGTAGCTGCCCCTGAAGAACGGAAACTTTTTCATCAGGTAATCGTTTATTTCCGCCAAAGTCAGACGTCCACACCGGGAGTCCCGGATAGCCATGGCGATGAGAGCGATGTACGAGAACGGGGGTTTGGGTCTCCGTGTGTACGGCTTTGACTTGCTGCTGCTGCTGCTGCTGCTGCCGCCGCCGCCGCCGCCGCACGGAGGAACAGGTGGAGGGCTGTGCGCCACGCAGTCCCCATCCGACCCCAGCTCCTCCTCAGCAGACAGAGGAGAGCGCACACTCCCCTCTGCATCACAGGACATCTCGAAGTGTTTCATGTCATAGTGGCTCCCGCACAACACCTCCAACTTCATGCTGTCTGATCGTCCTTTGCTGGTGCTGTGTAAGATCTGTCCACGGTGCTCTCCGCGTGTAAAGTCCGTCACTTGTGCGCGTCAAGACGCAGACTGCTTTGAAAAGGATCCAACAATTCCCTTCTTGGTTGTCATACCTGCAGGAGGACTAAAAAAGCCCGTCTCACCTACAGTCTGTGTGAGCAGCAGTTTATAGTCGGCTCACCTCAGGACCAACCCCAAGGAGGCGGGGCTACATTATTTGGAGCATCACAAAACATCTGCACATTGCGTGCATGATAGTCTAATTAAACCACGGATCATAATAAAAGTTTCATCACGACCCTAAATTGAATTGCTAAACTTTCCATTAGCAATTAGCAATTAGTAAGAGATGATGTTCACAGAAGACAGCGTGCAGTGCAGCTTTATGACAGTCTCACCTGTGAAACGTGATCTGCCAAACACCTTGGGACTATTTCACCTGAGACAACCAGGTGGCGTATGTTTCCTTTGTATTTCTAAGGTGCGGTGCCTGCAGGTAGTTCAGTATCATTCGTCAACTTCAGGCAGGCAGCACTGTAATCACAGAAAGGAATATCCTGTACTGTACTTTCACATACAGAGTGAAATTCTTTACATCACTAATGATTCTGTTTTTTCTAGATTGGAGTGCAGTCTGTGAGAAAAGATGCTACATGTCAGCAGATCACAGGCATACAGGTGCTCCCAAGATCTCTCATGTCAGAGCACTCTGCTTAGGTGTGAACTTTACATGTTCACGCCAGCTTAACAGCCCACATAGAAACCAGCGTTACTGTGTTTTTCCCTCTTAAGACAAACAGTGGGTCTGGTCCTTCCTGTTGCTCAGTTGTCAGAATAGGGGATTCACAGAGCAAATGACTTTTTGTGATTTATTTTCTTCCTGAACGAACTGCCTAAAGGTTTTGGAAGACTTTGGAGTCACTTGTGATGTGGTTCCAGCAGCTCAATAATGAAAACAAGGTGAGTAGAGCCATTGAAGATACTTCTGAAGTCTATTTTATGCCTTTTAATAGCTTGTGTCGAGTGTTTCATTCTCATTTAGCGCCACCGCTCCACCACAGGCCGGATCTCCTCCCTCTCACTCCCTCAGGTTCATCTGGCAGTCACGTTGAACTCAGCAACCCATCTTTGTGCTAATTGGTAGTCTTATTTCCTGCAAATTATCAGACCAAATCACTGGTATCATTGGCTTTGCTGTCACCAAACAGTCCAATGGAAAAAATAATATCCTCACACACCACCTGGAAACCATTGTTGACATTACACTATGGCCTCTGACATGGTGTCTCTGTGCCAAGTGGTTTAACTTTTGTTTATCCAAACTGTATTTTTCAAGCTTTTTTTTTTTTTTTCCATGTAGGTTACACATGTTTGTGCTTGGTGTGAATGTTTTGATTTTCAGGTAATAATCTGTTTGTGTTGAGTATGACACCCAATCCATGGTGAAGTCACTATTTTGAAAGGTGGCATGTCAAGGATGGATTCCTGTAAGCCAACCACACAATGACAGCAGCTCAAATACCATGTATTCATTCTGTTCACTGCATGTACCAGCTTGTGAGGCCATCGAGTTCTTGTATACATCAGAATCTACTTAATAACAGCCCTATCTGTTATGGTTTCACAGCAGAGGGATATGTGTGCCTCATATAGGCCAAAGGTTTATGATGGAAAAAAAAAAAAGAAAAGGTACCACTCTCTAATACAACACCTATTATTTTTAATTGGCTTCAGTAATGGTTAATGACTCAATAATAAATAAATCACCATTGACCAGTTAAATCTAGAAAGGGGATACAGACTACATGGATCGAAAATCATTTTAACAATTTATTACCATGTACAAACGGGAGACTTAAAGGATTAAAACTGTTGAACTAACAACAATTATATCTGCATTATTGCCAAATAAAGAAGATAAACCCCAGAGACTGAGTTTCTACAAAAACCTGGCAACCCACAATTAGTTTTCAATAATGGCTTATAACTGATCGATAAAGGATGAGTAATTGTAAAAACAAAACAAACAAACAAATGAAAAAGAGTAATTATCCATCATTATTCAATCCACTAGTTACTCAAAAGCCCTTTATTAGACAGTGGTAAAATAAATACATTGTTGTTTAATGATTTTAATGATTCCTGTTTTGTCGTGTGTTTATATCCAAACAAACATCACTGAATTAGCTTTTTTAACTTAATTTACTTACTAGTACTACTACTACATATTTAATTTAAATATATAGGATGCAATTATTGTACACAAGTATTTGTGGAAGCTCATATGGTGGCAGGGATATTAACATTAGACAATAAATAAACATTTGCCTGAGTTTGGATAAGTGTCTATATACGGTAGTTACATTTTCCTCAGTCCATGACATGCTGCCATAAATAATTTGCACTCGAGGCTCCTGCTCTCATTGTCTCACCCTTTCTCTGATTCTGACTACGTCAGCGTTTTGAGATTTGTGAGCAGGTCAGATTACAGTGTGGTGTTTTTCTGCAGACATTGAGATCAGATAAGGCTTTTTAGTTTTCATTCACTTGGTTTTTAAAGCACACACCTGTGAGACAGGAAAACGGAAAAAACCTTCAAAGTACAGATTGATTGAATGAAAGCTCCATATTTCTTATCACATTAAAACTGATGTCAACTTTTCTCATGGCAAATGAGTATTTGTGTGCAGTATGGCCTTCTGTCTCTTTAGCTTTCAGTCTGGTCTTATAGCCAGACTTCAGTGACCAACACGCTGCTGGTTGTTAATACAGTTCAGTGATCCGTTGGCACTGTGTTTCAGCTTATAAACATTCTAGAATAACAAACTCACGGCAACATAATAAATTGCATGCATAGATTTATGAACGCAGTATATCACAGTCCACACATCCCACTACATAACTACAGTAGCTGCATGAGAAGTCACTCACAGTTTAGTGTATGTGGCACATGACGTATAGGAGCTCTGCAATTGCTCAAAGCTCCAGTTAATCAGTACTTTGCCTGCCCAGCGGTAACTCATGAAAGAGACATAGTCACAAGCCCATTACTTCTAATAAGTTCCCTCTGTCTAGTTGTTTGTAAAGGAAAATACTTTTCCAGTCATCTGTTGGATGGCACAAGGAAAAAGAATAAATATTCTTAGTTGACTGCAGGTGTAAAGAACAAAGCTCTGGCTAAACACAGAGCAGAAGGGAAAACCCTAAATGCTTTGTGATGTGAATGTAGATTTAGATTCAATGTTGAATAATTTCTTAATCACGCTTTAACTTCATATAAAAAAAAAAAAAAAAGGTTGCATTACAAAATTATGATGCACTACACGTTTGGAAATAGGAGCTGAAACAATATAATGAGTTGACAAGATAAAGCCTCTCAGTATAAGTTAATGAAATTAAAAAAAAGATGTAAGTATTGTAAATAGACGTGAACTCTAGTTCTTTTCAAATTGGTTCATTGGTAAATGTGATTTAACATGAAAATAACATAGGCAGTGCATTTATTGTATATCAAAATAAAAAAGTCACTTGTGAAGATAAAACCTAAAAACAGACATATAATTGGATAATCTTTAATAATTGCGCTGGATGATCTGATATACTGTTTGATTTATTGATTTTTTTTTTTTTACATGCACATTTCCATTACTGCAATATAAATCCATTTAATGTAATCATTTTATATTGCCTAAAATAATTTTGCAGACAGATTACGAGACATGTTTCTGAAATATACAAGACAAATATCTTCACCTTGCTTAGCATTCCAACAATATAAACAGTTACACAAGATGTCTAAATGTAACCCATGTGAAGATGTCAACCTGAGCAGGATTTAGTTTGCATAACTCCCACTGAAGGTTTTGCATGTTCAGATGTTTTGCAGAAGATTACGCTGCTGAGAGCGTAAAGCTCACCGGGTGGCTTCAGAGTCAGGGATGTGGTTCAAAATAGAAACGGCATCTCATGTTGATTCCATGCATTCCTTCATGCTATTTATGGCAGCCGTGTGTTTGTTATCACTGAACAATACATCCCACCTCAAAATACTTCATCAGCCACTAATTATAGTATTTTGACAGGTCTGTTTTGAAGGCGCATTACCAGAGTCTCAGTATTTAACTGGAGCATTATGGTTTTGCACAAACATGTGTGTGTTCATAGTCATCATCAGACAGCTTACAGTAGAGTCTGTTTCTTCATGTATACTTTGGCTCCACATGTTTCTTCATGTATATCTGCTCCCACCCTCTTAATGCTTGTATTCTGTCTTTTCAGGTCTAACTGCCTGGAAACTCATGAGAATTTGTGTTTACCTGACTTTTGAAAAGCTCCGTCATTTTCTTGACCCTTTAATATGCTTAAACGCAACTAATCTGCGAAATACAAATTTAAAGATGACTCTAAACAAAGTTCAAGTTCTCTCAAAAGCAGCAATGAAAGGAGGAAAGAAAGCAGGCCCTTGCTTGTTGCTGGTTTGGGAAATTTCTATCTTGGTCATGTCACTTCAGAGGTAAAACAATTGCGCTGTCAAACAAATGGGAAGAAAAAAATGTACTCAATAGCATTTTTTCCCATTGCACTTTCATGTGGGGACCGCGGACCAGTTCAGAAACCAGACTCATAATGTAAAAGGCTCAAAATAAGAAAATATTTTTCTCTGGTAGGGCACGATCATGTTTCCCATCTATAACCCTGTACAGATGTGCAATCAACTCTTTTTGGATACAATTGAATTTCAAATTGTTCACCACTTAAATTCGTAATTTTGCAAATAATATATGTAAATAACATATGTATATTCTTAGATATTCTGCCTATATTGTCATACTTATCATTGACACATTTGTACATATGGTCTAGTACTGCACTACTTTATGTTAACCCAGCTTCTCCATTCATATATGAACTGTCTGGTCTATAGAGCATCATTTAGAGAAATCCTTTCATCAATCCAAAGCAGGACCAACTCATAATGACTGAAAGTCACTGGCAGACTAACTAGTAATATATATTAGTTGATCCCTATATTTGAAAACAGTATAGACAGATTTGTAAAAATGAATACATTTGAAAACTAACTGTTCCTATTTTGTTTTCATTTTTGCATCACAGGCCATTTCACTTAC